CTTATGAGAGAATCTCCCAATGCCTGCATTGGACCTTGAGAGACTCTTCCAATGCCTGCATTGGACCTTGAGAAGTCACCAAATGCCTGCATTAGCTCTTATGAGAGAGTCACCCAATGCCTGCATTGGACCTTGAGAGAGAGTCTCTCAATGCCTGCCTTGGACCTTGAGAGAGTCTCTCAATGCCTGCATTGGCTCTCATGAGAGTCGCCCAATGTCTGAATTGGATTTTGAGATAGTCGTACAATTCCCGCGTGGACACTTTAGAGAGTCTCTCAATGCCTGCCTTGGACCTTGAGAGAGTCTCTCAATGCCTGCATTGGCTCTCATGAGAGTCGCCCAATGTCTGAATTGGATTTTGAGATAGTCGTACAATTCCCGCGTGGACACTTTAGAGAGTTAGGCAATGCCTGCATTGCCCATTGAGTGAAAGAAAGTCTCAATGCCTGCATTGGCCCTTTAGATATTCGTGCAATGCCTGCATTGGCCAACGATGAACAGATTCCCTTGACAGATTGTCATGAAATTCTTGCATTGGCTTTATTATAAAAAGATTTTCAAAATTTTTTTTGACATTAGTGATTCTTAGTGGGAATTTACAAATAATATTTCATTTTCGTAATAATCGTCACTGCATTGCAAGTTTATTTATTTTCTAAGTGTTCAAATAGATTTTGCATTCCTTTAACGCTGAATTGCATTAGTCTATTACATTTAGAACAATTTCAACTGCATACGTGATTAAGATAAAATTCAAATCAGAATGAGAAGAAAATTGCAAAAAAATAAATGAACACATAGTCAATATTTCCGTAAAGACTTTTATCACATGAATTTGGAAATGGGCAATTTAAACCATAAAATGTATTTCGGGATACTTTTATTATCATAAACAACTTCCATCATAAATTCGTTAAATTACATTCACTCTGGTAGTAGAAGCCAAGATTTCTTTCCTCATTACCTAAAACATTGATTTTAAATTAAAAAAAAATAATTTGGACAAATAAAATTAAGACTCCATTATAAACAAGGTATCTTATACATTGGAGATATTTATGGTGATACTTATGATTTTTTAAGCCATGGAGAATTAAGTAAATTGACTTTTATGTACCTTTCTTTGATTACTTTTGTTTTACAAATGCAATTCCATATCATTGGCAAAAATATATGAGACAAAACAAAAAGTTTCATTCAACGGAAATTCTTTGACCCTGAGTTTTGACAATAAAAGAAGTCCATTGTCAAAAATATCTTGCAAAGACCTTTACTGGATTATTGCAGAAAGTTTAAATGAAGTATCAACATGTGTTCAATATTTGATACAAAGTTCTCACAAGCAGACTTGGAAAAAAATTATGGTCCCTTTTGTATGTTGTAATGAAACATCACTACAGTCTTTACAGTATAAACTAATTCATATATTACCGGGTATTCTCATAATTCTCATAATAAACTACTGTTTCAAATGCAAATTAAAACGTCATTCCAATGCTTTTTGTGTACAAAAGAAGATACTATGAAACTCAAGTTTTATTACTGGTTACAACATTTTGGAACATTTACTTTCTAATATGGTGGAATAATCTATATATATTCCACGTAGGCAAGTTATCTTGTCAAAATGCTGCATTAGGATCTGTATGAGAAAAAAATGTGATAGTTTGAATTCTGAATTTTGCTTTCTAATTAAGTTTTATAAACATTCATTGTTTACATCCAATTTGGAATTAATTAAAAAAGAACCAAGTTTCCATGCCTTTATAAGTCTTCTGAATAAGAAATTGCTACTTTTAAAAAAAAGTCATCAGTGTATTGCTCTGAAAGAGATTTAGATAATTTTAATGAAACTTAGCAATTAATATTAGATGCATTATAAATATTATTTCAGAACTTTTTGTATTATTTTTTATGTAATTAAATTAAATGATATAATCAAAAGGTTAGAATGCCTTTAATATGTTTTTTTGTAAAAGTAATGAACATATAATTTATATATGTAGAAAGTATGTTCCACACTTTTTATGATTTTTGAAAAATTCAGTCCTGCATGATGCAGATTGAAATTATAAAAGTATATTATGGTAACATTTGTTGCATTTTTAATATATTTTTACATTGTATGTCAAAAAAATGTATTATCTTTATGTATTGACTCAATCGATTTCATATGCTTTGTCCCCTATCATTTCTAATCATTTGCTAGAATTTGTTGTTCTATTTCTAGTCTCACACAATCATTTGTTTAATCAATTTTGTTGATAACGGATCTAAAACCAAATACACAGACCCAAACACGGTTCAAAAATTGGTGGCAGTGTCAGGATTTGGGTTAGATCCGGTTTGTTATGTTTTCTGATTTACTATTACTTTAACAATTTCACGTCTACGGCTGACATATCATACTATATAGACAGACTAAGTCTAAGTAAAGAGATAGATGAGTTTCTGCGATTGATAGCTCTTCAGAAAAATGTTTCAGGTGTCTCAAACCCATACAACAAACACGGACGAGTACACCGTTTACAAGACGGACAGATAGAGTGCTTGGAAATACAAGTACTGAGGATGTATGCATATGTGATGAAACTGATGATAGATCTGGAAACCAAAGACAGCATTCGGAATATAGCACAAATACTCATCTGGCAACAGATACAAATTAAAATCAGTAGAGATTAAAGCCCTGGGATTCTGTTAAACCTGCAATATATGAGGTTCCAGTATGTGGAATGAGTATTTGTCTCATTTTCAGTCTGTGAGTGTATTAAATAAATGGAACAGTATGTGGAATGACTATTTGTCTCATTTTCAGTCTGTGAGTGTATTAAATAAATGGAACGAGACGAAAAAGGGTTATATTAAGATGCGTCTCTTAGAGGGTTAGCACACGGTGTGCTCGGTAATCAGCTCAGGAATGAAAGACAGAATATGCAAAATTAGTCAATACTTTGCAGAATAGATTTGCCCCACTGAACCAAACAGAGCTGTATCGGACCCAGCTCAGAGAAAGGAGAGAGAAAGCAGCGAAGGGTTTATCAGAGATGGGCAAGGATAAAGGGAGGCTTGTGAACTTAGCCTACCCTACAGCAACGAACGACGTACGTGAGATCCTTGCCACAGAACAGTTTTTAGATTGACTACATAATTCAGAAATGCGTCTTAAGAGCAAGCAGTCCAGACTAAGCAGTTCTAATGATGTCATACAGAGACCCGTTAAGCTCGAAGCTTATATCGGGAAGATATGTACATTGGAGAGAACACATGTCTTGTATATGATTTGATGCACTACACAGAATTACATGATCTTTCTGGAATTCTAGTCATGATAGATTTTGAGAAGGTCTTTGTCTCTGGATATTTTTTTTCAAAATAATATAAATTCATGTGTGTTGCAGGCAGGAATTTTATCTAAATTTTTTAAGTTGCGGTTGGCTTGTCGACAAGGTGACCCAATTTCTCCATATATTTTTCTCTTATGTGCTGAAATACTGTTATAAAAATCAGAAATAATGAAAATATCAAAGGAATTAAGATATACGACACAGAATACTTAATGTTACAATATGTAGGTGACAAAATGATAATCCTTGCAATTGATCCTTAATCTTGAAAGGCTACAATGCTAGAATTAGAAGAATTTTATAAAATGTCAAGTCTCAAAATCGTTCAATCAAAATCCCAAATGGTATGGATTGGAAGTGTAAGAAATATTCTGAGGATAAACTCTGTTCGGGGTTTAAAAAATGGCACTCTATACTTTAAATTTAGCTAAATCCTTTTTCCTTCATCATCTATGCTGATATACTCCGTCATTTTTTCTGTCACCCATTCTTTTTTCATACACACCCCTTTCTCTTTCTCTCTCCCTCTCTTTTCTCATCTTTTTCAAAATTAATGAAGACAACAATGACAAGAATATGAATTGTTCGTATTGTACGTTTACGTGTGAATTATAACACTGCGTATTCCAAATACAAAAAAGAGATAATTATAGTTATAAAATAAAAATCCTTTTCCATTTCCCCAGCCATTGTACTTGGTACACAAGGAATGTCCTTCATAGTTTTATATAATTATGTATATAATAATATAATTATGTTGCCGCTAACGAAGTCGTGCGACATATTGCTAGACCTATTTTCTCGCAAATGGCTGGGAAAATCTAAATGAAACTTCAGAGAAATGTTAATCACCAACTCAAAATCTTGATGTGCCATTTACATATGATATTTTAGAAATGGCCTTCCTTTCCTTGGAAATAGATGAAATATGCGTTTGTAAAATTTCAATTTTCTTAATGTTCTTCCATATTTTTTGAAACTTTTAAGAATTATTCGTTGCATTTTGTCAATTGTGTTTTCTACAAAACGGTTGCACAGTTATAACCACTTAAGCACATAAAAGTTAATATGAAATTATTTTGATTTCACTTGATCATGGTTTATGTAATCTGGTTTCAAACTAAACATGTACAACATACGACATGAATCCATTAAAGAAATGTATAGAAAATAGAGAGAGAGAGAGAAACAGAGGGAATAGAGAGATATTAAAAAGATATCTTTCTACGATGATTTTAAATCAAAGAATGGTTGACATATTCATAATGCAATATGAAGATAAACAATGAAAATTTATTAGCTCCAAATTCATAATAAACAGAACAAACACACTTCACTGTAAACAGCAGAGGCGTAATAAGGTTTAGCGGAGTAGTAAGCATCCCCTTCGACCGGTTACACCCATTTAATCATTTAGTCATGGCATCTGAGAATGACTTTATTTTGCTAACAAGTGGTTAATCTAAGTACATGTACATTTCCCCTTTTGAATGTGCATTTCTTATTACAGATTTAGTATCTATCCTTTGCCTAAGCCAGAGGAACTCCTTTACTCAAGACTACTTTTAATGCGGTGTTTATGTAAGGAGTTAGATCTATACATGACACCAATTACCGAAGATTGTATCTACATATACATGTACATATGCTTACACTTAAGATAAATCTGTACATCCTTCATCATCGGGCTAGTCAAAGCTGGACTGTTAGAGACACACGTGTAGTTCTGGAGATCATCATTACTTGATGCAGCAAAGGTGTATGAGGTCTGACTTATTCCACTGGATAGAATCTGTGAGCCTCTCTTCCAAGTAACATTAGCAGGCGGTACTCCTCCAACTGAAAGGCAGATTAATGTGAGACTACTGCTTTCCGTACCTCTGATTCTCAGAATTCCATTCTCAGTGTATGACTCGCTTATGGAAATATTAGAAGGTGACTCTAAAAAAAAATATACATTGCATACATTAGTTCTTTCAATGATTATGTCTATTTTCATTAGAAATAACTTGCTTTAAAATTAAAGGAATAAAGGAAATTTTAATGAAAATACAAACTTTTTTTTTATAAAAGAGATTGTGAATCAGGCGCAAAGTCACTTTCACATTATTGTGGGCGGCAGTTAGGGTAAAAATAAAGTTAATGCAAAATGAACAACTTATTTTTAAGGAAAAATAAATACTAAAATAAAACCAGAAAAGCTTAAATTGAAATTAACATGCTCCGTTGCGAGACGAACGGTCATCGATGCAAAGCACACGATCACCCATGCAAAACCAATAGTCATAACACTACTAGTGCTAGATGACGTGCAAATACCTCGCTAAATACTAGTGACATGTAAAGCTAGATGGCGCGTAATTCAATAAATTACTGTTTACGTCATAATTTTCTTAGTTCTATTTTACATGTAGCAATTGCAACTCCGTATTAGCAGACCTATTTTTGTATTCATATGAAGCAAAATTTATTAAAAACTTCTACATGTGAAGAAGAAAACACTTGCTGTGGCCTTCAACTCGACATTAAGATATATATTACGTACTACGACGTACTATCAATTAACAATAGTCACTTCCATTCATATGTCGACTCGATATATCCCAGTGAGCTTAAAATTAAAGATACCACAGAGTCTGACACATCTGTTTCATATTTGGATATTTTACTAGAAAAAGACATTAATGGTAACCTAACAACAAAGCTTTATGATAAACGTGCTGACTTCAATTTTTCAATTTTGAACTTCCCTTACTTATGTAGCAATATACCCTTATCAACTGCATATGGGGGTTTTGTCTCCTAGTTGATTCGATACGCAGGAACATGCTCTACGGTATAAACAATTTCTAAAACGGGGCAAGCTATCGACAAACAAGTTGATGAAACAAGAATATGAACAGTCTCGTTTAAAGTCATCATTTCGTTAGATCTATGGTCGATACAATGGCCTTGTCAGCATATACAATCTATCATTAAGTCAAATGCTGACTGACGTTTTTCGTCTTTGTTAGGGCGGGGCTCTGTTGATTACACAGTGACAATACAATTATCATTAAAAAAAATCTTCTCCCCTGCTCCTTGGTATAGAGCAAATAAACTAAATGCATAGTTATGATGAGCATGGGTGTTTATTCCAAAGTTGTGAATTTCATGGCCCCTGGGACAGGGGTTCTTGCGTTATGGTAGGGCTATAATGATTATAAAGTGAAAATGCATTAATTATTTGAAAATCTTCTCTTCTGCTGCTGGGTATTAAGCCAATGAACTAAATACATATATAGTTATGATGAGCAAGGATGCTTTTTTTCAAAATTGTGAACTATGCGCCCTCGGGGTCGGGGGTTCCGGGGGGAGGGGGGTTATTTATTATATACTAAAAGTGACATCTCCTCTGCTTCTTGGTATCAAGAAAACAAACTATATGTATAGTTGTGATGAGCAAGGATACCTCTTTCAAAATTGAGAATTTCATGGCCGGGGGTTCTTATGTTTGTGTGGGGTTCTGTTGATTATATAGCGAAAATGCATTAATGCTTCAAAAATCTTTCACCTGATATTAAGCAAACAAACTAAATAAAATAATATTAATGTATAAATATGAAGAAATGTGCCTCTTATCTGCTCCTGGGATTCAAACAGAGTACAAAATTGTAATAAATGAAGTGAATGAGAGTTACTCCCCTTTGCTAAATTGTGCCTATCAAGTAATCATTGTGTAAAATTTAAACAACAGGCTATTTTTTTGAATTAGAATACAAGAAAGAATGTTAAACATTTAGCAACAAAATAAAAAAATAAATATGTGGTTTAGATGAGTAAAGCATGCTTAAAGTCGGATTCTTGCTTATTAAGCAATATAAAATATTGACATAAAGTTTATTTTCCGCATGTAGCAAAATAGCCAAATGCATGGAGTACAGTGCAGGGAACTTATTTTGTTACATTAATCAGCATAAGCAAAAGTGCATCAGCATCCAGCTATTTTTACGTGAATGAGATACATCAAAACATAGTGAGAAGATGAAAATATGTTTAGTCAATACATAGTGAATAAATATGTAGGTATTGGATAACTACAGGGTTAATTAATTGATTCTGTTAATGTTGTATGCATTTGAAGGTTATGATTTAAAAAAAAACATTGAATCTTCTGCTCAACTAATGATTCAACGATATAATAAAGATTTATTTTGCTATTACATCAGTCCAATTATCTTAATATTTCTGCAGAACAAATTCGATATCGACATGATATCATATCAGAATTGTCGATATCGACGATATCGACATAGCATTCAGTTTTATGATGATTGACATAAATAACAAAATACTAAGTCTATCGATATAAATACGATATCGACATGATATAGTCGATATCGTCGATATCGATATCACAGTCAGCATACCTTAAACTAAAATTAAAAATTTTACAAATCACAGTCAATATCAAAATTAAATTGATAAAATAGCTTTTCTCTATTTGGTCGATATCGAATCAATATCGAATCATCGATATCGACATTGCACTATGTCTTGGACATGAAAAGTCTACCTTATATTCGTTATAACGTGGGAATGAAACAGCCTAGTAACAAATATGTTTGAAATTACTGCCAGCAATTGTAACCCTAACGTTAATTATCACCATAGTATTGGTTCCGGCCAACATTATATTCGTTTTAAAGTGGCAAAGAATTGTACAGGAAACAAAATTTTTAAATTACTCTCAGTAAATCTAACCCAGAACGTTAATTATGATCATAATATTGGTTCTGGCCTACTTAATCTTCGTTATAAAGTGAAAAAGAAACAAAAAGTAACAAATATTCTTGAATTTACTGCCAGCAATTGTAACCCGGATCGTTTATTATGACCATAATATTGGTTCTGACCTACTTTATCATCGTTATAATGTGAAATGAAACAAGAAAGTAACAAATATGTTTGAACTTACTGTCAGCAATTGTAACCCGGAACGTTATTTATGACCATAATATTGCTTCCATCCTACTTTATATTCGTTATAAAGTGGAAAAGAATTGTACAGAAAACAAAATGTTTGAAATTACTCTCAGTAATTGTAACCTGGAACGTTAATTATGACCATAATATTGGTTCTGGCCTACTTTATCTTCGGTATAACGTGAATGAAACAGCCTAGTAACAAATATCTTTGATATTACTGTCAGCACATATAATCTGTAACGTTAATTATGACCATAATTTTGGTTCCGGCCTACCTTATATTCGTTATAAAGTGGCAAAGAATTGTACAGGAAACAAAATTTTTGAAATTCCTCTTAGAAATTGTAACTTAAAACGTCAATTATGACCATAATATTTGTTCCAGCCTACATAATCTTCATTGAAGTGAAAAAGAAAGAAGAAAGTAACAAATATGTTTGAAATTACTGCAAGCAATTGTAACCTGGAACGTTTATTTTGACCATAATATTGGTTCCGGCCTACTTTACATTCATTATAAGTGGCAAAGAATTGTACAGGAAATAAAATGTTTGAAATTACTCTCGGTAAATGTAACACGGAACGTTGATAATGACCATAATATTGGTTCCAGCCTACTTTATCTTCGTTAAAAAGTGAAAAAGAAACGTGAAGATAACAATTAACAAACTTGGTTGAAATTATCCCCAGCAAAAATGTATCTGAAACCTCAAAGATGGTTTTAATATATGTTTCAGATCACTTTCTCCTCGTTTTTTAAATAGAAGATAACAAATTTTGTTGAATGTTGTTGAAATTATTTTCAGCACCAAATTTCTACCTATACCTGAATAAACCTTACGATTTGGCACACCTATCAATCTCGCCGAAATTCTTAGGAAATTAACAAAACATGTAATACCTGTGATTATATATTATTATAGAACGTAGGTTTTTTTCATTTCCAAATATTTCTCATTAAAATTGATAGATATGCCACACCTGTGAAAATACTTAAATCTGCAGTACCCGAGGATCGATGCTTATAGTTATATATTACTTTAACGGATCATAGAACAAATGCTAACGCTGTTATTTAGACTATATTTCTAATATTATTTCCATTAAATTTTTGAGGTGCTACCATACCCCAAGGGTCAGGAATGATTTGAACGAACTTATATTATTACTACCTGGGGATGCTTGTAGTTCAAAGTATATTACTAATCAAGCATGCAAGGCCTTGGCTGATGTTTAGAAAACACTTTAAAACATTTTTTTTCTTTAGACATGTACATGTATTCTCATGCTAACTCCTCCAAGACATCTGTTTCCACTATCCCAGATGGTTCTACGGATCCACATTTTGTTCTGTAATATTTTAATTTTAAATTTTTATCCCTTATTTTGGTCCAATCTTTTCCCCAAGTGTCAGGATTTGTGCAAACTTGCATCTTCAATATATCAAAATCCTTCTACGCAAACTTATGGTATAGAGGGAAACTTGCATAATTGGTTAAAGAGTTACAAAGAAGATCACAGACAGTTTTATACAGAAACTTGTTATCTGATGAAAAACCTTTAGGTGCAGGTGTCCCACAAGGTTCAGTGTTAGGTCCTTAACATTTCTTATACATGTATATGTCAATGATGTTGCTGAAAAAATGACAAGTTTTTGTAGATTATTTGCAGACGATAATTCCCTGCAGCAGTTTTCTGAAAATGTCAATACAATTGAAAACAAACTTAACTTCGTAAAAAAAAAATCGCTTCTCAAATTTAATCCTTCAAAAACTAAAGTAATACTTTTTAGCTTGAGAAAAAAAAAATGTATGCTATTATTCACTCTTCTTCCAGCAAAGTCAGTTAGAATTTGTTTTCTTGCATAAATATTTAGGGATTTTTTTCTTGTATGATCTTCGTTGGTCCACACATATTGATACCGTTTTAGCAAATGCGTAACACTTCAAAAAAATGGGTTTGTTAAAAAAAAC